TCCCACACGGTGCATCCACTTAAGGGTGCTTTATAACCAAAACTCGAACGAGTTTACTAAGCCACGATTCAGGTCCGAGATGATGTCCTTTGAGCACACGACCATCTGGAAGTGCCAAAAAGTATGAATGATGATCAAGGATTGTCAGGGATTCATGAGGATTAACTAACAACAGTTTTAACTGCGTTGTAGCCTCATTTAAGTGATATACAGTATTTCACCTTAGTTGCGGGAGTTATTTCATGCCATTTATAACGAGGCCAGCTCGGCCATAACTGTTTTTGAGCTCATCGACTCATCCCATCCAACAGCACGATGGGCACTTTCGCTGTAAGACCCTCGGCACTTTTTTTGACAAATTACCAAAAACCCCCCCCCAAAAAAAAAACATATGCAGATGCTCAGGCGAAAAAAACACTGTAAAGTATATATGTTGATCCCATCATTTTTGCCTGACGTCAACCAGGGTTCGGTCGCAACATCATCTGCCCGTACCATTCCATTAGTGAGCTCGGTATAGTTAGTATCATTGCGACTCCTATTGATTTATACCAACATGTAAATAATGGACACACTATTACCCTAGTAACCTAGTAACCACCCAAAACAAACCAACAAATAGAACACAATATGAAAAAATAAACTATATTGCCAGTTTAGCATTGGGTTTTACGACCCTATATGTGTTTGTGATTGCTATCTATATATACATATGTATATATATATATATATATATACATATGTAAATATTATGTATACAAATATATAAAATTAAATATATATATATGTATATAATTATATACATATATATATATGTGGCTTCTTAAATTGGGGGATCCCCAAATCATCCAGGTCATTAGAAAATTTAAGTATTGAAACAACCATGGTGACTTGGGGATCCCCCATGACTTAAGAAACGTCCATATACCGATCATGTACTAATCACCTACTGTCAATCCACATTAATCCTCATTATTCACAATCAATGATCACCAAGAATCACCATTAGTCAATCATTTTAGTGAGGATTGCTGTATTATATATAAATATATATGCACGTATATCTGGGCAAATTAAAAAGTCACTAACCTGAAAAAAGGCCATTTTGGGATGATTCCCCTTATTAACCATGATTGCAGTGAGGTTGTTATAATTTACCCACATACACAATATATATATATACATATATATATATATGTTACATATAGTTTGACAGACAGACAGACAGGCAGACACAGACAGACGGACGGACGGACAGACAGACAGATAGATAGATAGAGAGATAGATAGACGGACGGGTAGATAGATAGATAGAAAGATAGATAGAAAAAATACATAGATAGACGGCATACAACCAGACAGACAAACATACAAAAAAACAAACAGATAGATAGATAAAAAACACCTAATAAATATACACATCGATGTACATATAGATATACACATATAGATATACACATATAGATATAGATATAGATATTGATATTGATATTGATATACACATAAATATACATATAGATATACACATATAGATATAGATGTAGATACAGATATAGAGATAGATATAGATATAGATATTGATATACACATAAATATACATATAAATATACACATATAGATATACACATATAGATATAGATAAAGATATTGATATTGATATACACATAAATATACATATAGATATACACATATAGATATACACATATAGATATAGATGTAGATATAGATATAGAGATGGATATAGATATAGATATTGATATACACATAAATATACATATAAATATACATATAGATATAGATATACACATAAATATACATATAGATATACACATATAGATATACACATATAGATATAGATATAGATATACACATAAATATACATATAGATATACACATATAGATATACACATATAAACATACACAGGTGTATATATACATATTATTATGTTACAATTATGTTATATATGTATAAATATTTGTATACCATGGATATCCCTAACAATATTGTAAATCATGATCAAAGCTTCCCGGCCTGCGTCCAAAAGGTTTGACAACTGGGTCCTCCAGGGGCAAATATGAGCCTGCCACGGTCTCGTTTAACAGGCTGGTAGAAAATCGGTGGTCGAAAATGGTATTCAACCAAGGTTTTAGATGGGCAGTTTTATGTATACCATCAACATATGGGGATTTATGGTGATTTGATTGGATTTAATGGGATATCTTTACGCAACATGGCTTTTTCTTCAGGATTAAATTGGGAAACCAAGGTCTAGGTGTATCCAACAAACAAACATGGGGGTATAACACCATATAAAGCCAACAATGACCGGAATGTAATAAGCATATCGTGGGGAATGGGGATACAAACAACGGTATGATATGCGGGTGTCTGAAATTGGGTGTCAATATGAGGTGTTTGAAGTCTGAAGTTAGGTATATACCCCAGTGTGATAAGCAATCAACAATTTTAGGGTACAGGGTACCTTACTTTCAGACAAACCAATACTTTTTGTTGAAGGTGCCAAAGCGATGTAAGGTGTGTGTGTGTGTAAGGCCTCAGTTTCAGGCACACCACCTCCACTTTAGGGACCTCAAGCGCCTAAAGGGTCAATGAAATGTTGGTCGGATGTTGGTCGGAGTCGTTGGTGGGCAGGACTGCAGGACTTAACCCTTCTCTTCACTATCTCTGTTAGTCCATAGCCATGGAAAATGGCAATGTTGAACATCAATGGATTGACTTCAGAGGACATGCTAGCTGGAAACCATGGGTTTTTACCATCAAATTCCATCAAATATATTAGTTTCCTGCAGATTTTCCCTTAAACCAATACTAGGATAATAGGAAAAACATCTACACATGGGGAATTGTCCATGGCTATGTTCAATTGCCACAAACCAATTAGAGGAACGACGAACCTTTTTCTTGCACCCACTGCCACAGACCCAAGAAAGTAGCGTTGCTAATACAAAGTTTTCGCGCAAAAAGACAAGACATACCAAACAATCACAGCAAAAAAAAAAAGATCCGCACAACGATAAGACATTCCACACAATCACAGCAAGTAAATATGATATGAATTGATATGATCATTTTTTTTGGGAGACTACTGTACTCCATTCCTCCACCACATTATTCTGTCAAAAAGTCAGCTCAGTTTGTGTTGATTCTGTAGATTTCTGTAGTTCATTTCTGTCAAAAAAGGCGAAATCGCAAAGACTCTTTCGAAAAATCGCACTCTCCAAGAAGCCTACCCTGGGCCCACCCTCTGGTTTTCACGTGATTTTCCAATCCCTCTATAGTTTGATGAATCTCCCAGCACTTCATGGCGAAATATCCCAGCCCTGGATCAACTCTTCCACTGGGATGATCAAACTGACGTCGAAAAATGCTATCAACTGATGTTCAACTGGCAACTGGTGTTCTGGAAAATCCACTTAAAATATACGTAGAAAATGTGTAGATCATGTCGGAAAGCCCATAGATTTCTGATTTGTACTGGCTCGTGGCCCGAGGCACCAATTTTCTGGGGATCATCCCATGGTGAAAAACCGAACAGAACATCTTGTTTCAACCTCGAAGTCTTGGGGACATCTACCGGGAGATACTCGGTAGAGAGACAAAACAGGACAAACAAAACAAACGCCATCTCATTCTCACCCAAATCATGCAAAATCTTGCCAACATGCGCCAACATTATTCCAGAAACATTAAATCATGGTGCAGAAGCGGAATTGACTTCATCGGGATTTTACCGCTCCTCAGAAATTGTCCCGTGATATATGATGATATATCCCTAGTGCTCCAAATACGTTCTCAGAAGGTGTTTGGAGACCAAAAACCATCCCCAAATACAGTCTCAGAAGGTGTTTGGAGCTGTATGTATATATAATTATTTACACACATATCTATCAAATGGCCCAATGGGTGTGGGTCAAAACTTAAGACCATAGCGACCGCAAACTTTGGTTGTATAATAACAATCTACCGTGCTACCTTTAAATGGGACCCAACATCAACTTTTCAGAATGCCAGCCTCTCATACATCAGCTACCAGCAAACCAGTCATCCATCAGCATTTACAAGTCCATGTTTATTTGGTTATGGGTCAAAATCTATTCTTACCATATTTGAGAGAATAACCATCCATCAACCAGCTATTATAAGGTACCTACGGTACCAGGGTTGACTCATAGCCATTTCTCGCCTGAAGAAGGGCATAGAGGGTCAAAGTAAAGATGAAGAAAGTGAAGAGCAACTCGTTGTACATTTGCAGCAACACCTGGAAGAGCAACGCTACCAGCAGGAGCGCGGTTCCAGCGGCGACCCGCACCAGATCTAAAGAAAAAACATGGTTGGATCGATGTGTTGAAAAATGTCAGTAGAGACTCATCCAATTAACTGGGGTTCATTGATTATTTGACTTGGACCCGAAGCCAGTTGAACAATATCAAAACTTGATTGGAACATCTCTGAATACAGTGGTTGGTTCCCATGACGATTCCTAGATCATGGACAAAAATTGTAGGTCCTGAAATGGTCAAGTTGAGCGGCAGCTGGTACAAATTCATGTGTCCGAACAATGAAACGGACAGCCCTGAAAAAGCATTAGCTATTGGCTGAAACTTTTTGATCTTAGTGAAACAGTAACTTTTCTGGTCCCCTTTAAAAACCCAGACGTCTCGATTTTTTCCACATGGACCAGGTCGAGGCACAGGCGTAACGGCGATCAGAAGATTCCGTGTGTTCAGAATCAGCACGAAATAGAAATGCTGTGGATTGAAGCGCCCAAACAAAAAACCTGGACGGCTGGCACGCTATGCATAGCTATGCGTCGCTGGGTCCCGGAGGCGGTTGCAAAGCCTTCATTTTGGCGAAGAATTCATCATATTTCATCGTGGCGAATGGAGTATGATGTATGAGCCATGCACTTTGATGAGCCATGGGATTAGTTCATTGGTGATTGTACTTGGGTTATAACCATGCTATAAACCATGAATAACCAGCATTAACCAGCTATATCTCAGTTATGATCACCAGTTTATCCATAGCATTCCATAGTTAGAATTACAGTAGTTAGGTTTATACCTTAAAAAAAAACATCTAAGATCTAAGCTTTTCTAAGCATCTCCAAACTCAGGGAGATTTTTTTTTTCAGGCATCATGGTTTTACCAGGTTTTACCCCTGTGACTCCAAAAAAAGCACAGAACCCAACTCTCCAAAATGTTGATTCTCCAGTCCTAGTCGGGTCCGAGGTTCCAAGGTTCCCAGCTCCACTGGGATTAGTTTGCGGATGGGTCAAGTTACCTATGAAACTACCACAGCCTATCCCATCCAGCTATACCAACTCTTTTTTGGGTACCATCTGGGTCATAGCTCGTCCATCAAGCCTAGCTCACCTACTAAACAAGAACACCTTCCTTCAGGCTGCCCAACTGGCCAACTGAGTTCGATACTTGGGGGTGCAGGCCATGGTGATTTTTATTCTATCATATCCATGGTAATAATCAACATAAGATGGGATATATAACCACTTGGTTCACTGGAGCTGCACCCCCAAGTATGTAGCGCTGTTTCTCAATCTTGGAGTGCCCTTTTGTATATGTTTGTCCGATCAAAGAAACTCAAATCGAAGGAGTCCAAATTTTACTCAGGAGACTTCTAAACTAATCGCGTCGTGAAAATTATCCCATCGGATCTGTCATTCCTCAAGTTTTTGTTCCGTTTGCTCCACGCATACCTTTGTCGCCACAAGATCTGATCGGCGAGTTTGCGGCCTCTTTGGGTACAGTAGAATCGATCACATTACCAGTTGCTCCTGCCTGAAACAACTGAAACAATATAAGGGGTTGTACTCTGGGAAAATCCTCTGCAAATGCTGCATAATGCGGCTAATGAGAAAATCATCAATGAATGGACAATTTTCATCAATTTTCCATAGCTATGTTTCCTTTACCAGAGGGTAACTTCCAGAAAACGGTCACGGTGTGTGGAATATTCACCACGATCTTCACCACTATCTTCACTCTACATGCCGATGATTTGTCTACTGTATCTATTGCTGCCCAGCTTTGTGACCCATTTTTGATCTAATTGTTTGCTGCTGTTATGTTCTTTTGCCCCTCCAGTCAATCCACATAGCAAAGGAAGGATGCTGCGTCTTGACACCTGGAGGAGCCGGATTGAAAGCCCAGTATCCACGCCAAAAATTATCCTCATTGAGAAACATGATCCGACCATGGGTTGCATAGTCATGCAGTACTCTCAAACCATGACAGCATGAAGGTGGCTCCCTCAAAATCTCGTTTTCTGTGGCGAAAGGAACGCCTCTAATTGCTGCCATCGTAACATCTAAGACGTAACGTGTGATACAGGTTCAGCCTCCCCAAATGTACCGGAATATGTAGGTAGCCGCACCCAGTAGGGTTGTTTGCTGCTGTATTTTTTGCAGGGTATGTACCCCCCTACATCCCCGGGTCAGTTTGTTCAACCTTCATTTTTGCTGACTAAATCGTGATGGTTGCTGATGAAATAAACAAACATGCTGGTAAAACCCAGATTGTTCATCATTGTTCCTCCTTCAATGCCAGGTTTGGTTCAATTGTTGCTAGTTTGATACCCAGCAAAAAGAATCTCTTAGCATCTCTTAGCTGCATTTCCATTTTGTTGTGTTCTCAATCCGCCGATTTCCGTTGATCCCAGTGACTAAATCGCTTCACATACTTCACGCCACCAGAGCTAGCCACTTTGCGCGCATAGTTCAGAACCTCATGTGTGACTGGGAGATGAACGGTTAAACCATGGATATGTATATATATATATACTGGTTGGTGGTTTTAATCATCTTGAAACATATTAGTCAATGGGAAGGATTATCCCATATATTATGCAAAATAAAAAATGTTTGAAACCACCAACCAGTATAGTATATATATTTACTATATTTAACCATCCAAAAAGGCACTTGATATGATAAACTATGGATCTAATCACCAAATGCACTGATCAATGGCTTGATTTGAGGAACATGTCTGACATGTTACAGGAAATCGTGTTTTTGTTTTAATGATGTTATACCAAAATAAGAGTTGTTTTTTTTGGTTTTTCTGAGTTGTGTTAAATGAGTTTTGCCTCAACAAACTCTATGAACTATACACACTTCAGGGATCAGACCATGGCAAATCCATGGTCGAAACTCGAAACTAGATTCAATTAGGATGCATATTCATTGCAAGCTATGGGAAAAGATGCGATTCAATATAGCTTTGGTGATTTGCTTGCGAAAATCTGGAACAACAAAAAATGTGGCACCGTCATGTAGTGTCATCAAAAACGAGCGGCTGCGATTTTTTAACATGCAATACCTACATCACATTGATTCACCACCCCCAAAAAAAAAACAAATCCTTGGTGGCTCCCTGAAAATGCAAAGATAAACAAGTATGGGTCCTCAAAATAAATAGATCCAATACTACTAGAGGCTTTCGCGGCATTCAATCTT